CTTTTTCGTATGTACAGCTCTCAACATGCCCAGACTTGTAGTGATTTTCACCTCTTTTAATACTTTTCGCCTCATTCTGAAAGAAAGAGGTGAAATGTACCAACGTGACGGCCATCTTGGTGTTGGTGACGTGTGCAAGACCAGAGTTGTAGTTCATTGAGCGCTTCACACAAAAAAATGTGTAACTTCACAGTTTTACGACACATTTTAATTTTTTTGACTTGCAAAATTATCTTTTAAATTGACAAACATCATATGTGTAATTCGTGGCACAATTCAAAAGGGATCGAAAGATAATCTTTCTCTCCCCATTGACTTCAATACATTATTTTTCCGATATAAGGTCCCATGGAGGTCCACCGGAAGGAGGGGGACTTCGCCACTCTATTGTTGCAGAAAACGATTCAAACACAACAATGAGCCACATGTCCCTTCATTATCATAAGCATTGTCCCTGTTGTTTATTTTGAGTCAAAGATCTTCCTGTTGCACGTAAATTATTTCTTCTATACATATTAATCTAAGTCACTTATAATAACACAAAATATATATTTTTGATCCATAAACAGAAAAGGGAAGTTGGAAAGTACTGAGAAACTGAATTAGGCATTACTCTTCCCATTCAATGCTTCCTATTTATGCTGTGTGAGTTTGCGTCAAAACAAGGTATTACAATTTAAGACTTCAGAGATTTTGGCTTTACTAAGAAATTGAAATGTGTTTGAAAGAATTTGAAACAACGGACGTACATGTTGAAAGGCAGCTTCTGTTGTGCTTGCTCCGTGTTATCAGTTCTCTCCCAGTGGAACAAGTTGCACTTTAATAAATCTCTAAAAACAATAAACCACAACAAGTCTGTCATTTCTCGGCTGTACAAACAAACAACAGAGCAGCAGCATGAGAACAGAAGCAGGGCTTTGACTCAGAGGAAGAAACATCGTTCTCCTGCGAGTCTTTTCATGTGGAAGTGAAGCAGCTGGTGTACAATGAAGACTGTTTAAGGCTTAACCTGATGTTTAAACCAAGTTGATTTTATGTTTTGTTTGACGCTAAAATGAACAAATCTTTTTTTTCCAGAATGAAATCTTTGCATCCCGTCACCAGGATGTGAACAGTGTGGCCTGTATCGAAGACAAATGCTATGTCCTTACATTGGCACAGTATTGTCGGTAAGAATGAACATTTTGTGGTGGCTTTCTGGAGAATATTATTTTTGCACTATGTTGCTTTAGAAAGATTCCTGCTGAGAAAATCCTAGAATTCTGTTTATTTCAAGCTCAAGAATGCATAATGTTTAATAAAAAGTAGGCTATTCAGGTTTCAGACAGTTTGAACCTGTAGAAGTTATTCTAATTGTTTCTCTAAATGCTTTTGAAGATGGTTGACTTTGATGTCCTGTTTTTGTGATTTTCCAGATTTTGTGCCTTGGTAAAACGCCATAGGGAGGGTGTGCGCGACTGTGCCGCCTCCCTGGTGGTGCCACCCGTTGTTGGCAGCGCCATGCCCCCCCACCACTGTGTGCCCCAGGACGTCGACCCAGAGCTGGTGTTTTTCTGTCGACATGTCTACGACTTCCGCTACGGACGTCTCCTCAAGAACCTGCAGTAGCATCTGACGGGTCATGACACATAACGCTACGGGACGTGAGATAATGTTCTGCATCCTCCACAACATTGATTAGCCACTCACCTACCTGCTGCCTGTGTGACGGGAACTGGAAGTTTAGGGATGAAGGATTGAGACATGAGCTCTTTTTGTTTTGAAATAACATACCACGCATTTATTTAGTAAGAGTAATGGCTTGACATATTGTATGAGAGTTTATATGGCAGTGTAATGGTATTTCTCTTACATGGCTCTGTGATGTCGTAGCGGCTGTGTGAAGAACCTGGAGCGTACTCTGCTGTAGAAAATGCTACTCTAGCTCTAGAAAATGTTACATTTCATAGTAATGAAGGGAGGTTGATGTTACATGTGAATATTTTACTGTCTGCCCGACAGATATCAGACTAATGTGTCTGGATGATACGCTATATATAAAGAACATTTGAAGTATATTGATATCGAGCTGCATCAGTCCTTTAGAAGTAGGAAAGAGGTTTCAGTGGCTGGAGATTTAGTCAGACGCCTTACAGGAAAGCTCCCAAGTGAGGTCTTCAAGTTTCTTTCTAAGGAAAAGTTTTTGTTGGATGAGATGATCAATGCCACTCTTATGTCAGTATGGTAAAAATAACCATACTGCCAGCATCAGTTAGCTTTGCATACAGACTGAAAATGGGCCTATAAACCAAGCCTTGCTAGCTGTTTCCCCCTCTTTTCATTCTTTGTGCTAAGCTAACTGGCTGCTGCATCCAGCTACATATCTACAAGACAAACATCGATATCAATAGTATCGTTAGTTAGCTTAATACATTTTACAGTTATTTAATTTAAAGTAATAATCTCAAAGATGATCATTTAAATGATATGTCACTATTGCCTAATAAGGTAACACAATTGTGTTTAACCATACTGCCCACTGATGAAAGCCCTTACCCTATCAACATCTCTGCTAAAAACCATAAGCAGTGATCTTTAAGAAGTGAGAAAACACACCCACGACTACCGCCTTTTTCCACCCTAGAAACCAAAATAGAGATCTTTGAGATTGTTATTTGCCATTTACATGTAATGGTGATTGACCTGTTGGTCTATCGACTTTCACCACAGCTGTGAAGATTCTTCTTTTTTTTTTTTATCAGGAAGTTTTTTAATTACTCAAAATGTTCTTTATTACCACTGACTAAGTGCATGCACAGCAACAATGAAATGTGGACGTTTTTTCGCTCCACCTGTCATGATTTTCCCAGAAAAGTATAGGTTTTATGACATAAGTGTAATCCAGCAATTCACCAGAGTGGTGGTTATCACAATATCACATTTCAGACCTGCACTCTAGGAGCAAAGCACACTTCAGTTTGTTTGACAGCGTCCAATGAGCCAAGCATCGAAGGGATTTTTGTTATGCCAATGCTGAGGAATATTTTACTTTCTCAAAGCTGCTTGCCAGAGGTGTGACCTGACTCCGGTGACAGCTAACTGTATATTTGCATTTATATATCTGGATGAGTGTGTGTTCGTGGCAGATGGCATCAGTTAGTCACATATATTCTTGTTTCTTCACCGATGAGATGGTGAGTGATGTATTCAGTGTAGCATTTAGACCTGTGATGATGATCCATTCCTATGTTTGAGAGAAAAATATGTATTTATTTCTGTACTGAGAAAATATAATTTATTTTCAAAAGATAATTTTAGGGAATACACTGTTAGATGAGTGGCTTTCATTCCTGATTAGAGAGAAGGCCTCCCCTTCTTAGCTGCACTGTCGAAGATAAAAAAGTGTGTTATTTTGCTATAGTACTTCTGTGACTGATTGAGCTTGCTTGCCCAATACAAGCCTATTAAATGTTATGTTGAGATGTTGAAGGCCTCTGAGGACATATTAAGAAGGATCTTAGATACAGTTTGAAGGACACCTGCTAACATATGACTAAAGATGCTTAACCTGCAGGACCGAAACGTACCTTGGCCTCTCCCAGCTTCCTGTCGTTCTCCTGTCACTCCTCCTCAGATGATAAAGCTTCGCCTCTTCACCTTTGAATGCTGAATGCTGCAATGATTTAAACCTACCTTGCCATTAGCCTGTGCCCTTGATCTTGCTGCCTTATAGAACATTCCCAGCCTTTCATTTAGAAATGTGTACTGATGTCGGCCGGAGGGTCATGAAGCTACTTGGTGTGCTGATCCAGATTCCTCCACCATCAGATTCTTGCGATCTAAAAGGCATCAACGCTTTTATTTTGACAAGTCCGCCCAAGTTTTGATTTATATTCAAAGAGATCTGTTAAAGGAGCAGTTCAATATTTTTGGAAATGCACTTGATTCCTTTCTTGTAAAGAGTTAAATGAGAAGAACAATACCACAGTCTTAGCTGTGTGCTAAGTATGAAGCTGCAGCCAGCACTCAATTAGCCTAGCTTAGCATTAAGCCTGCACGTGGAAACATATCGGTTGGCTCTGTTGGTATAGGTAACATGTATCAGTATCTCTAAACCTGTTGTCTGTAAAAATCCAATCTTTATGTTAAGCTAAGCTTACTGTCTGTTGGCTGTAGTTTTATTTGTAGCGTACAGACATGATTGTAGTTTTGATTTTATATTTATATCTCAGCAAAAAATAACGTTTATTTCCAAAATGACTGAATTTGTAGTTTTTCGTTTTTCTTGAAGAACAGCAGCTGCGTCATTTTAATTTCATCAGCTGCAAATTAATTTCATAACAAGATTTCATGGTGGAATAAAAAGTATCAAAATGCCCACAGAAACTTTTCTAATCTACTTCTTCATCATAATCCACCTCACAGCTGTCCTGTTAGCCCATTGTGTTTCAAACAAAAGACACAACTTCCTGGCAGAGCTTCAAGCTGTGAGGAAATGGATAATGCAGCAGGAGTGTTTGAGATGTTTTAAGTCTCTGATTTGAAGCTTATTGGCATTTGAATCCTTTGTATGACATGTTTTAAGATGAACAAAAGTACTGCTTTACATGAACTTCAAACAATTTACAGCCCCCTTTAAAAGCCTGAGGGGTCTATGAATTGAGACATCTTGGGCTACTTCTGCTTTACTCCCTGCTGTTCAATGTGATGAGATTAATTTGCTGTGTTAATTTACAAAAGCTGAATTTATTTATAAATGGATTAATATTTGACTTTCAAATAAGCCTCCTCTGATTAATATGTTAGTATTTGTTCATTCATTAGGCTGTAATGAAAAGCATAGTTCCTGCCATTTCAATCAAACCAAAGGTTATTGGTCTGTACAAAACTACAGTCACTGTTTCTCAACTGAGACATTGTATTGTATTTTGAAAGATGCTAGATGTACAGTATCCCAGCCCACACAGCACAATCCAACAAAGCAGAACTGGGTATAGCCTACTAAATTTGGTTTTTCAATTTCAATTCCCCCGGGGCGTTCTGGATCAGAGTGCGAGACCACACACACGGTACACATTATGGCCTTAGGAATCACTCAGCAAACAAATTCTGTTTAATCAAGTTTTGTGAAATGTATGTCTTAATTGGTCCTCTGTGCCTGTTCCCATTAACCCGTATTTACTCTGTTTTTCACGATGAGAAGTACTAGCTGTTGTTTTTTACCTACCTTCCAAATGCCTTTCATTTTTGCAAAATGACACTGGTCTGATCTTGAATCACCACAAAGAAATGTTTGCACCAAAAAGAGAGAGAGAAGGGAAGGTACCGAAACTAATTTAAGGAATTTAGTTTCATTCACAGGTGTTAAAAAAACCTGACGTTTGGGTCTTCTGATGTGAGTTTCTGTTCATATTATTTGCATGGTGTTTTTTTTTGTATATCTTGGAAATATTAATCGCAGCACAGATTATTTGTATGGTTTCAAATGGACCTCTGTAATATAAGAAAAATATTTAATTGTAATAAATAATATATGAGTTTGAACATGTGTTTGAGAGATTTCTTTATGCGATGTAGTTTAATGCTATAGCCAGGTTGAGAGCTGTAGTAATAGTTGCTGCCCACATGGTGGCTCATTCAACCATTTATGTTTTATTAAATACAGTCATAACTGTGATAAGAGCACTTAGATTTTAAAGGGCTTGGAATAATAATAATATCAATGATTATATTACTTTAGTATGTCATTATTTATTATATTATTATTTTTATAAAACATTTATGATTTTTTTTTTTTTATCTACAGGAAAAAGTTAATGCAGGTCCACAAACAAATATTTGAGGTAGAAGAATGTATCCACATAAACTCAATATATTTCTGTGTATTTATGACTTATTAATTTAAACAAACAATTCTTATCAGTCAGCAATCTTTTTGTTTTCTTTATGGACAAATTAATTAAAAAAATGTATGTAGCTTCAGAAATGACCGTTACTCCTTTTTGTTGCCATTAGGAAGGTAACCAATTGCAGTAATGAAATAAGAAAATATATAACAAACTGTATTTCAAGAAGGACACTCATCTACGGAGCCCCCTAGGGCAGGGGTCCCCAACCCCCGGTCTGCGGACCGGTACCGGGCCGCGGAGGGGTTACTGCCGGGCCGTGAAATAGCTGTGAGTTTATTGTAATATTTGCAGAATTATAAATATATCAAAAAAAATTCAATTAATTTTTTTATTTTAATTTAATTTTACACCAATCATATTATTTCATCCAAAACATACAAAATAAATCAAAATTGGTTAGCATAAGGTCTCAGCCTTTCGTGCGCAGAGAAAGTTACAGGTGGTGCGCCAATAGGAATTGGAGCACACAGGAGACAACCTTTTCATCGCAGACTGTTATGTTTGTGGGGGAATGGCAGTGCATACATTATTTGAGATATATTTCGAACTCGGACTTCATTTTAAGGACATTGCGGCCAGGGGTGCAGAGCTATTTTTTTATTTGTAAAGCCTCCTTCACTTCATGAAATGGCTGCAGCATCAGGAGGCAGCCTCTGAGAAGTGCAGCACCAGCGCGTACACACCACCTTCACTGTGTTCCCCACTGCAGGCTGCTACGTTTCAACCACACACCCTCTACAGGCACACACATCGAACGGCCCGATTATTCCCCCTATTACTCGTTTTATGAAGGAAATGTCCGATCACAAAGGCGCATGATCTGTGTGTGTATGTGCTCTGCTCAGCTCCGCTGTGTGTGTGTATGTTCGGTGTGTTTGTGTGTGTCCAACAACGGCATTTGTTTTCAAATTACCATGAACAGTAATTTACACACATCTGGCCAACTCCATAGGTATGTGGGTGTTCCCAAAAGAAGTTAGTTTAATCTTAATCTCGATGTAGTGCTAAATGCTGTCGGAGTGCACCGGAACGAACGCCCCGGTATGACGTTATTATGGCTGGCTAACAAGCCCAGGGGTCTCACTGACATTTCAGTTATATCAATATGTGTACAGTGGTCCTAATTGGTTTGAATTGTATCCTGGTTTTAAACTGTGTTAATATGTTTTGGATGCATATTGTTCTATTATTTGTTCAGGCTGTTACATACAATTAGCCACTGTTACCACCTATATTAGGCTATATTATATATTGTTTAATATTTGTAAAGCGGTCCTAATGTTTTGTTTTAATTGTATCCTGGTTTTAAACGTTGTTATGTTTTGGATGCATATTGGTATTTCTTCAAGGCTGTTAAATACAATTTAGCCTCTGTTGCCACCTGCTGGGTGAGTAAATATTCAAATAAGTTTAAAATTGACAACCGGTCCCGCACATTTTTTAAAATTTCTCTGCCGTCCCTTGGCAGCAATAAAGGTTGGGAACCCTGCCTTAGAGGATCAGCAAGGACAAACAGGCAGTATTGCATTAATGATGAGAAGTCTAGACTAGAGATATCCAACNCAATCTTAAAAAATAATTTCCATGTCAAAAAATTCAAAGTTTGTCTTAAAACTGTTGAAATATAAGACTATGAAAAATACGCAATTTGTAGTCTTTCTAGTTGCGTATTTTTCATAGTCTTATATTTCAACAGTTTTAAGACAAACTTTGAATTTTTTGACATGGAAATTATTTTTTAAGATTGACAAACAACATATGTGTAATTCATGGCACAATTCAAACGGGATCAAAAGATAAGTTTTCTCTCTCCATTGACTTCAATGTATTATTTTTTCGGAATAAGGTCCCATGATGCGGAAGTAAGTGGGCGTGACTTCGCCACTCTATAGTGGTTATGACACAGACAAATAGGCAACATCAGGCTTTGAATACACAGACAAATCTTGAGTAAGTGGGATTATCTTATTATTGTTGTTATTGTAGAGCTTTCAGACAAAGAGAATAATAAAGTATATTTACAGCCTTAATCAATTCAATAAATTATAAGTGAAGCACACTGATTCTGATTTACAAAGGATTTGCACAGTTAACTGACGCTGTGTTTCAGGTGTACAGGTATATCATTTTCACCTGCCGACTACTCAGAAACCACTATTTCCAAAAGGTATACAAATATTTGCTTCTCAGCCTGTTTGGTGAGTGAGCTAGAAGATATTTATCACACCTCTTAGCACTCGAGCTTTCAGCTGCTGCAGGAATTGTGGCTCCCAGGAAGCCAATTACTAAAACCTGTTTTGGACCTGTCCAAAAGTAAACACTGGTGGAAGATTTATACAGAATTACTGACTATATTTGGGATGAAAAATATTATTTAATTTGGACAAACTTCCTTTTGGGCTTCTACATTAAACATCCACAAATACCAAAACTAAATATTTATTTGGAATACAGAGTACAGCTGCGAGAAAAGCAATTTCAGAGAATTACTTAAAGCCTGAAACCCAATCCATAAAGGACTGTTAGAAATCATTTTAGAAAACCTGTAATGGGACTATGAATTGAATATGAAGGAATGTGTGGAAATCTATTATTGCAAGAAAGAAACATCCGGTTTTAAAATTACATTTTTATTTATGTGTTCTAAAATAGCAGCGTAAAAAACAGATTGATCTTTCTGGAATGGTGTCTTACTAAAGATGACTGCGTGATCTGCTGCAGTCATGTGATCCCAAAAAATTAAAAAAGGTCTACAAAGGATATTCTCACCTCACAATGAAGACTTGGGTTGCGTCCCCCCTGTGTGTGTTCTGGACGGTAGTACCAAAACAAACTCATCATCAGCTCTCCTGCAGAAAAACAAACAACCACACACAGTTCACCACCGCGCTAGAGCCAGTTATTACAGCATTAACTCAGCTCCTCCTGTGCCGTGTGCAGCGTGTGTCCTACCTGACTCTGGCTCCTCCCACAGAGCTGAGATCTTGGCCACGAAAGGCAGTGACTTCTTTCTAGTTCCAGATTTCAGCAGAACAGTGTCTCTGACCCGAATGAGCTCCCCGTCCCTCTGGACCCCCTCGAAGCACTTCCTGGGCACCAGCGCCTCCTCTCCCTGTAACACGGGCAGCAGAAATACTGACTCCTCAAGCATCCACACACTGATGAGGTGTGAGAGGCTGTGGAGTCACAAAAACTCCAGGATGTGATTTGTATTGAGTGACTCGTGTGTCTCAGCAGAAATGTCGACAGACAGGTGTTTGGACCAACCTCAAGAAAACAGCGATTGAGCTCTAATGAGACAATAACACAAGCGTGATAGATCATCCCAAACGATCTTACGACAGAGGTGTAACTAAGTACATTTACTCAAGTACTGTACTGAAGTCCAATTTGGAGGTACTTGTACTTTATGTGAGTATTTACATTGATTTGATACCTTTAGTTACTTGAAGATTTGGATTAATGATATGAAATATAATCAACACTGAAATAACATTTTAGTTACACCTGGAGTCAAATTCACAAGCTACCCTGCAGTATACAAAGTACTTAAAACTAGCTGCTCTTTTACCAGCTCTGATAACACTTTAATGCATCAATAATTATAATCAAAATATATGACTTATATTATTCTGAAATGGGCCAATATGCATAGCGAGTACTTTTAATTTTGGTAACTTAAGTTTATTTTGATGCTTAAGACTTTCCTACTTTCACTTGAGCTATATTTGACTGCAGTACCTTTAACTGTAGCAGAGTATTCCTACACTCCCCTTCTCCCTCCTCTGACGACAGTCAAGTTTAACGACCCAACATGTAATTACAAGCGGCACCTTGGTGGCTGTGTCAGAAAGCACCAGCATGACTTTCTCTACGTACCACAGAGAAAACCTCCCTCTGAAAGGGCAGGCCGACCGGCTGCCAGCCGTTGGTGGATTTTTGGCGGCCGTTCTTCTGCTGCCTGGCAACCGCTCGCCCTCCAACACTGGCAGCGCGGAGCTTCTGCTTCTTGTCCCTGTTGAGGAGGCAGACAGCCGAGCTGAGGCCGCCACTGCCGCCAGACCTCGACCCGCTGGGCGACTTGGCGCTCTGCGGACTCTCCTTCGCCACCTTCGGAGGAGGCTGCGGTTGGCTGGGGTCGGACAGCGGAGACTGAACGTGGGGCACTGATTGGCCAGCCGCAGGCACAGTGGGAAAGGGGCAGCCAGTGAGGGTTCTGGGGCTGGGACAGATGGGGATGGAGGAGGGACTGTGATGGTCGTTGAGGGTAGACGGGTAGTCGTCTGAGGAAGCAAGAAAAGAGGCAACATAATGAACTGTGAGACACAGTCCTTGAAGGAGCAGCTACAGTGATCAACAAGCTTTAACAAGGTCACGTAATAGAGACACGAATGACACTCAGTTGTTATTAGTTCCGCTGAAGCAGCAGAAATAACAAAAAGAGCCTCAATTAAGATCAATTATAGCCTTTAACAACACACACACACACACACACACACACACACATCACACTGAACAACACACACATCACACTAAACAACACACACATCACACTAAACAACACACACATCACACTAAACAACACACACACACACACACACACACACACACACACACACACACAGACAGACAATGAAAAACACCAACATTAACATTAACTGTGTGAAATAACGAGATCAGGTTGTGCACACTCCCATGACACAGCTGCGGTGATGACATTAAGTTGAATTAATAGTCAATTTATTCAAACTGGATCTGTCAGCTTCCTGGATCCAGGAGGTTCCTACATGGAGAATGCATTATGGTTAGATATCAAGCTGCTTTGGTTTACTGACGGCCAACTGAATTAGCAAGCATCCGTGACATATATGTTAAGGGTTAAGGTACTTCTTGGATACACACACAACTAAATATGTATCTAATGAGTATCAATAACATAATTATCTGTTTTCAAAGGACTACTTAAAGAGGGAGACATTTTCCTTTTACTCCATTTATTTGACATTTCATAGTCTGCAAATTAAGATGTGTATTGCAATAGAGTTAATTATACAGTGGCTCAACCTCAAGCAGCTACAAGATTACAATGCTGCTTTCACAATATTGACTAACCTGTGGGTGGTTTTACTCCTTATGCTTTAGGCAATTATCACACAACTTGGTTGAAAGGTGTAGCATGGGTCAAAAGAACAACCTCTTTTTCAGTGGATGCAAATCAAGCAGCGGATATACAAATTATGTTTCACCTTAATTGCAAGAAAGAGCATTTGTGCTGCATCCATGTGGTGTAATCAGATATCAATGTGTCCTTTAAACTATCTGAGCAATATAAAGTACAACACAAAATCCAGTTGTTCCCACATAACTACTTCAAGCTCCTGAACACACCATAGTCGAAGGAACTTCTCAATAGGGGAAAAGAGACCATCCGAGGACCACCAAGAGGTATCTCGCCAATGGTTCTCCAAGTGTAATTTTACTTTTGGCTAAAACTTGAAGGCCCTGCTGCAAGCCCTCACAGGGGTTCAATTTTGATTATTAGACCTCTGCTCAGGTGAATGTTGGCCATGAGGTCCAAATGAGGTGAGAGTTAATAAGGTGAGAGTTAATTTGCTCCAACAGGTGCAACCAAATGAACAGGAGGGCGAGGCAATGCCAATCAATTCTGCACCCTCCCACTCAGTGCTGAGAGGAGGTGTAATCAGACAGAGTGTCAACACCTGTGTGGGTGGACCACAGGCATGTTCACAGCAGACATTTTGACTGGTCATGGCAGGAAAACCACAGGTGTTACTTACCTATAATAACGATGGCGCTGTTCCATTCAAAACACGCTAACATGCACAATAACAGGATTCAGAAAGCCTAATTCTATTATTTACACCTATGCTCTCTCCTACTGTGACATGTCAAAATGTCTTCTATTAAATCTATTTTTAAAAACCTAAATAGTTTGTGGAGCTCTCGTCGAACAACACTCTCAGCCCTCACAGCCTGACCTGCTTTTGGCTGCTGCAGACCACAGGAAGAGAGAGAGAGAGAGAGAGGGAGAGAGAGAGAGAGAGAGAGGCCCAGCAGTATACTGGTGTGTGTTCACGTGTAATTGGTGTTGTTTTGAGGTCACGTTCAGGTGTTTATAACCGTACACCCACACACTCAGTCAGGCACACAGTGTTTGTGTGCTATACCGTAGACTTCACAAATAGTTTTCCTGTTCTGGTTCACTTCTCTGATTTGAACTCAGTGACTAACTGCTGACACTCAAACTCATACAATCAGCTCATTAGCTTTTAGCTGCACAGGCCTTGTATCCACCGTCCGGCTGCTTGCATTCAAACGTAGACAAAGGGGGTCTTGTCCTTTATCGGATATTTTTGTGTTGCCTCCAACTCAAGTGACATTCTAAAAATGGGAGATTAAAAATGCCTTGACATAAAAGCTATTCTCAGCACATTGTACTGCTTTGACAGCTGGATTGGGGGGGGCATACAAAAAAACGAATAACTATAGTGTACTCATGAACGTTTAATACTTATTAGGAAAATCTTACTGTCTGACTGTGATGGCTGAGTACATTTACACAAAGCTAATTTTCCTTGTCAGGGAGTTCAACTTGTGAAAAAAAATTGTTTTACTGTAAAGGAAGCTCATGTTGGAGCCAAGAGTTTAAAGATATTGGCATTTATCAGGCAAGGGAAGTCTATTGAGTTGCATTATGGGGAATGTAGGATACCCCATTAAGTCGGTATTTCACTACATCACAGCCACAATTTAGTCTGCAACAGCAATAAATATACAGGATAATCTATAAGGAAGTGGAACTCAAAAATAAAATACAATTCATACTTTTTTCCTTTTGCTGTACTGAGGCACTTGTGAGTGTTGTTACATAAGTGCCATCAAGAAGACAGATACTAGTGCATCAAAGGTAGGGTAGGTAAGTTTGAGAAACCGGCTCGAGATACACTTTTTGTTATATTCCATGGAATGCTCTTAACATCCCGATAGCAATGAATATCTGAAGTGCTTTGACAAAAAATCCATAAAAAAACGTCATCTGTGGAAGCCGTAGTACTGTAAAAAGCACGACCAATCATTTTAGCCGGCCCGGCTAAAATAACTGGATGGCCTACCTGCCTGTCAGCCTTCCATCTGTGCAGAAACTTATCTCGTGCCCTCATTGGTCATGTGCGCGTACGTGTGTGTTGGAGGAGGGGCTCTGTAAGGAAGTGGCAGATTTTTTCCGGCTGTGTATTTTCAAATTGTAGCGCACTTGAGCTGGTTTCTCCAAAATTACCTACCCCACCTTTAA